CAGCAGGTTTTTCTGCTAGGCAGGTTTTGTTTTCATCCTCACCTAGGGTGAGGGCTGTAGACTTGGCCACAAATATGTGAGATACTATAAGCAGCAATCTCAGTGGAGGGAATACCACATTTTGAATTTCTTAAGAAAGTTTTCTGTGGCAAGGAAAAAACACCAAACCATAAACCCTAAAGAGTGGAGTGTATATGCCCATCCACACTTTAGGTTATGGTACAGACACACAAATCTTAGGATTTATTTAGCTGTGATTATGCTAAATATAGGTATACCAAACTAAAATAAAAAGAGTGTTGAGAGGCAAGAAAAGTGAATGCCATATATTTTTTCTTTGCAAAAAACCTGTAACAGCTTGAATGACCATTAATCCATAGACAATTCACCTATGCTTGATAATCTAACATAGGCCAGCTGACAATCCAATGGAATACATTTGTGGGTTACCAGTTCTAACACCCAGTAGAAGCAAGTAAGTAGTTCTCATTAAAATAATCAGAATATACAAAACATTAAGCACCAAAATGTACAAATCACACATCTACAGGAAAGGAGCATTCACACCAACCCAAATTCATTCCAGCTCCTCCTAAACAATGAACCTTACAGTAATACTAGAAGAATAATAAATATTTACCTCCTATGCCTCTAAAAGGGTCATCTTCTCTTCAGATACAGATTCTAAAAATCCTCCTCAGAATAATTACTGAAGGGCCTAAGCTGATTTCCAGAGAAGACCATGAATAGTCTTCCACTTACTCCAGCAGAGGCTCTAATTGCCTGCCTCTACTAATGAACTAATCTCAGGCACCTGGAACTAGCAGGCTCCATGCTGGGCAGGCAGGGCTCAGGTTACCCAAGAAATGCTCCAAATACATTCACACAACTCACTGTCCCTGCAGATGTGCAAATATTGCTTTTGTCATACTGTTGGAGAGATGACATGTGTTTGCAGTGTTGTAGGACATAAAACCTGAAGATTAATTAATTTTGTTGCTTTAATCCCTTCCAGAGACCAGGTGGGCATTTGGAGAGGTAGATAAATGTGTTAGTTATCCACATTACTCTTTGCATTTATCCACTTGTCTCTGTGACACAGAGTATCTCAGATCCTCACAGTATATGTGGGTGGCTGGAAAAAATATATGTATTTCATGAGTGCCTGCTGTCCATAAAATTAAACCTAATCAGGAAATAAGCCTGAAAGTTTGGCTAAAACCTAAACAAGTCCAAAATCTGCTGATGTCTAGAGTTTTAAAAATTATGGTTAAAGAATCTAGAAGTCACCAGTGCATGTAAGCAAGCCTCAGTATAATCCTTGTGAAATAAACTACTGCACTTTTAACAAATTTTAAAATGTTTTTACAGTCAAATTATTTTCTGTGACCTCAGAAATTGCAGCAGGTGTCAATCAGCTTTGCATCCAGCCATCCACAAATGTATTTTTCCCTGGACTAATTATGCTGATAAACATGTGTTGAATTCTAGGTATGTGTCTGGTTTCATTTGAGGAGGGAAGTTTGATATAAACAAAACACACTTCAGCAGG